AGATTCTGTTGTGAAAATAAGTAAATTTACAACAATGTGAGATTCTGTTGTCAGAACAAGTAAATTCCTTTCTTTACAACAATGTGAGATTCTGTTGTGAAAATAAGTAAATTTACAACAATGTGAGATTCTGTTGTCAGAACAAGTAAATTCCTTTCTTTACAACAATGTGAGATTCTGTTGTGAAAATAAGTAAATTTACAACAATGTGAGATTTGTTGTCAGAACAAGTAAATTACTTTCTTTACAACAATGTGAGATTCTGTTGTGAAAATAAGTAAATTTACAACAATGTGAGATCCTGTTGTCAGAACAAGTAAATTACTTTCTTTACGACAATGTGAGATTATGCTATCATTATAAATTAATCACTTTCTTTCCAACTGTGTTAGATTCTGATAAGACAGTAAATAAATGTATTTAAAACAACAAAAGGTTCTGCTGCCATGATATATAAGTTACCTTCTTTACACCATCAAGATTCTGCTGACAGAATAGATAAATCACTTTAGTTGTATAGCTTATTCTAAAGTTATTCATAAAGGCAGTATTAATTCGAAGAATTATGCAGATAGAGGAAGAGTGTGACTGGCCGATTCAATTATCTCTCATGAGAAACACATCAATCACTTGATATTTTAATGTCACCGCACACTTTAGGTGCTTCATGTTACACAAATGACCTTGTTTGTGCACACAAAATTCTTTCTTATTGAAAGATTGTAGAATCCACACTTTACGTTTACATTATTAATATTGTGGGTGATTTATCAACAACTAAAGTTCTTAAATATTATATCACATTGAACGAAATTGATTTTGAACAATCTATTATTCTGTTTCATAAATCAATCACCCATAATATTCACAACTGAAATTTCATACATATAATTTTTCTATACGGTGTTACAAAAGAAACTTATTAAATATTGTATAAATTTCAATCCTTAACAAGAAATCAAATAATTTCCCGTAACTAGCTTGGTTTAAGAGGTCATTAACTTTGAGTGTTGATACATGTTTTCCTTAATGAAGCGAAAGCAGAGAAATTGTAGATTCTTAAAGAAAGAAAAACCGAATAGAGAGTCAGAACATTGCAAATGGAAGGAAAGAAACAATGGAGTCATAAGATTTTCAAGTCATTTCCGGTTGTTTGCTGTTTGCTCGAGTACTAAAAAGCCGGATGCTGTAAACACAAGCACGTGAGGAAACTCCGGTGAACATGATGACTACACTAGTGGAAGGGAAGATGGAAGAGCTTTTTCCGCCAGCAGATGACAGATTAACCAAGAGTCATTTCTTTAGCTTGTTTCATTATTGATTTATAGACTTCTGCCAAATTTGCTCTTTTATTAATTTCTTTATCTGGAGATATCTTTTGTTTTTCTAGAGTCCTATTTTAGATTTTTATGCTGAGCCTTTCAGGTCAGCAGTTGATAGTTGCGTATTGTGTTACAATAGTACGTTAGAATTTCAGTAACCTACTCACACTTTAATATAATGCAGGAAATGAAGTTCACGTATTTGTCTACTGACAGAATGGAGTTCAGATTATGGGTTTGCAACAAGATTAATATTCTAAAATCTTGTGATAAAACTCGGTTTACGGGATTTGTCTAGTCACTGATCACATTCATTATACTTGTTCACATTTTACATTTATTACAACTGTTTACTTTTTACATTGATTACGCTTTTCACATTTGTTGTCTGCGTACATTAGCAGGATTTATTAGAATGTTTTGATGTTAACATTTGAGTTCATGATATTTTTTCTTAAATCACATTAAATACTTTAAATGTTAGGGTGTTCGTCTCGCAATCTGTGGGTCGCGGGAATGAAACCCGACACCGAATATGCTCGCCTAACGGTTAATCCCACTATTCTTAGGTAAAGAAGTATCCCAACAGTTAGTGGTGATAGCTGCCAACGGAGTGTCTTCCCTGTGGTCGGCGGCTCAAAATTAGGGACGGCGTTAGATAGCCTTAAGCCTTAGTAGCTTTGCCATAAACAAAGTAACTGTTGACACTCAGGGAAACAGACACATAAAGATAAAGTGAACAGAGATATTTTAAATTTTCCTACAGCTTATTAAAAAAGGCACGTGTTGCAGGATTTAAAACTATATTTATCTATTTTAGTTGTTAATTACAGCGTAGTATAAAATTCATTATAATTATATATCCGACTGAGAATGGCCTAGCTGTTATCGAATAGGGCTGTGGTTCTGAAGACCCAGGGTTAAAGATATATCACTGAACATGATTCGAAATTTAAGCGGTGGACACGTTATAAAAGTGACTTTCAATCCTGTTATTTCCTTTCAAAGAACCAGACAAAGCCTTTGTGGCGTGGGAGCTATTGGCTATCTGCCTTTACTCTTGTCAGTAATTCAAAATTAGACTTAGCTATTATTCCTGGTCATTTAACCCACACGCACTTAAGGTTCCATTCAGATTAAAATTTCTGATTCCAGTTATAATTTATATTCGAAACGGGAATTTTCAATCGTAGCATGTATTTGTTACTTTTTCAAGTTTTGGGCTTATGGCAATCTCCTTTTACGTTCAAGGAATACTATTTTAGTATTAAACAACAAAATATTGTTTCGTCTTCTTGTGTGTGCCTGATCGGCAATATTATATCAGGGGCAATAAAATGTTTGATTTCTTTGCATAAGGAGAATGTATTAATGAAACAACTTACCTGTCTAGCTTTTGTTTGTTGTACCAATATTTGGAAATTGGGTGACCAACTTGGATTTTCCACCGATCGAAGAACAGATTATTGTTAATCTAACTGTAAAGTAAGGGGCCTTTAGTTTCGAGATGAGGTGTCTAACCAGCAGTCTATATTGAAAGAACTACCAAGTTCGTGAAAGCTGACATTGGGAGAGTTCACCGAGCTCTTGGACGTCTGCAGCAAATCAGTCTGCGAGAGAGTACTGCCGCTCGTTTAAAATTTTCTGGCTATCTCCAGAATAGTAACTGCCTTTTCACGACCTCTTTTGCCAGTAGAGGTCGCCCTTCGTCACTGTCAGAACAGGTCTGTTAGTACCTACAATATGTTGAATTTAACAAAGTGGTTATAGATCGTAGTAACGATGCGATTATGAAATAACCCTTCACTCACATTGTTTTTAACAACGTTCCTACGTTAAAGTTGGCGACAATGTGATAGTGGTGTTACAATATATATAAAGAATGCTGTTGATTAAAAAAAAATATCGTATTCTTATTATTTATATGAACGTTCTTGTTTTTCCATTCTCATGTCTTTAACGGCAAATATACGTTTCAATTGTTTGTTCTTGTATTTGTAATCAACATAATGCTTACTTCCAACAGTATTCGTAATTAAATATCATTACCTTTCTTCTCTAAGGTATTTTGTCTAGCTCTAAGTAAGTCAATTAGACTTACCAGTTCATTGGATAACAATCGTTAAATGACACAACTTTTAGGCCCACTGAAACAAACTGGCAAATGTTAAAATGTCCTTTTCTGTTAACCAGGAACATTTTAATTACACGTAAAAAATGATAACATTTTCAGTAATGCTCCAAATTGTTGCATCTTTTGAATTTCGCGTAGAGCTACAAGAGAGATTTCTGTACTAGCCGTCCCTAATTTAGCAGCTAGTCAACACCACCCACCGCCAACTCTGGGGCTACTCTTTTACCAACGAGAAAAGTGGGATTAACCGTAACATACATCGCCCCTACGGCTGAAAGAGCTACAAGAGAGCTTTCTGTACTAGCCGTCCCTAATTTAGCAGCTAGTCAACACCACCCACCGCCAACTCTGGGGCTACTCTTTTACCAACGAGAAAAAGTGGGATTAACCGTAACATACATCGCCAATACGGCTGAAAGAGCTACATGTTCAGTGATGGAAATTTGAACCTGCGACCCTCAGAATGCGAGTCAAGCGCTTTAAACATACCAGGCGCAGTTGTGTGTTTAATAAATACATTTCCGATCGTGATTCCTTAGTAAAACATTCCAATTGAAACTACTTTTAGTTTGAAATACGATGACGAGGAGCCCACTTGGAGACTAATAATGCCTGGAGATGGCTTGAATTGGTAAACACTTTAATATAAGTTAACATGTTAAACTTATATTAAAGTTTTTACCCATTCAAGCCGTCTCAAAGCATTATTACTTTTAGTTTGTTTCTATACAATTTGCCCCCCAGTGGCACAGCGGTATGTCTGTGGACTTACAACGCTAGAAACTGGGTTTCGATACCCGTGGTGGGCAGAGCACAGATAGCCCATTGTGTAACTATAAACAAACTTTACAATTTACACACAAAGCTACACAGAAGCTACCAGCGCATTTCCGTCCCTAATTTTTAGTTTATAAACTAGAGAGAAAGCAGTTAATCATCATCATCCACCGTCAGCTCTTGGGCTAATTTTTATCAGATTTTACCATCACTCTTTTAACACACCCAATAACATGCTTAATCTGGCCCTGGATGCGTTCCAGATTTGTGTCACCATTTAAACTCAGCAATAACGATTGTCATTACTTTAATTTATACTCGATGTTAGGCTTCCGGTTTTACTTTATTTTATATGCGCTTTTTGCAAGTTCTTGTTCATACCAAAGTATAATTATTAATACTTTTTTTTTGTCTATGAGTTTATTTACCTTTGTACGCTTTGCACACTTTTCCAGACTAACAAGCCAGTTGCTATGTGCATTGTCTCTTTTCTACTCTGATTCTTTGGAATACTTATTTTATTTCGTTGTACTACCATGAGAAGGCTCGATCGAGTTGGATGATTTGATAACAATGACCTGGGGGCTAGGGCGCTCGACTGGCAGTCCTGTCACCGAAATTGCTCTCCCTTTCATCGGCGGGGGCTTTATAATGTGACGTTGGTAAAGGAGTAGCCCAAGAGTTAGTGGTGGGTGGTGATGACTAGTTGCCTTCCCTCTAGTCCATCACTGCCAAACTAGGGACGGCTAGCTCAGATACCCCTCGAGTAGCTTTGTGCGAAATTCAAAACAAACCAAACGTTAATTATATGAAGAGTATTCTTTCGAATTTTTGCTTCCAGGTGGATTTGAATATTATTGTCGGTAGGTTTACAGATGCTTATTTTTCAAAATAAAATATAAACAAAATTAAGCACGAGAAAAAACAAACAAACAACATCTTAAAAGGTTCTCTTCCAAGCTTAGTTTATATAAACGTTATTTGTGCTTTAGGAGTGATGTTTTGTTTTGTAAAGTTATGTTATGTAAATGCAGTGAAATAATTAGTATTTAGGTATCTCTTATATGAGATATAAGTATATAACACAGGTACTAAAGTTTACAGGTTATGGCAACGTATGTGACAGTTGAAATGGTTCTGGAGCTTTGATCACATGATAAACAGGCATCTGTCCCAAAGATAAGATGTCTCTAAAACAGGATAATGGTTAGAGAGATATGTGAGAGCTCTTTCCAAAGATAATATTAACAGCTCGAGATAATTAAACAACTTAGAGCCTAAGGACAGATCATTTAAAAAAAAAGAATCTTTATTGTATTTCCTGGAAGCGTAAAACTTCACACAGTGAAACGTTTAAGACAGTAACGAATACTAAAGAAACACCCCATACCAACGACAACCAACATCCTCATGTGCAAAGAGAAGGCTTTGGTTAAGGCAATATTCACACCGTGTTCGTTTCAAGTGGCAACAATTTAGTTTGTGATGAGACCGTTTGGAAATGAACAGGAATTCATTTTCATGGTTCATTTCCAATGTTTACACTGTGTTCATTTCAAATGACATCAGTTCAGTTTGTGCTGAAATCATTTGAAAACGAACAGGAGTTCATTTTCATAGTTCACACTAAAAGTTTTTAAGCGAAACAAGCTCAGTTCTTTTACGAAACGGAACGAAATCACCTCTTCTGATGAACTCGGTTTCGGTTCGTTTCGATTTGTTTGCCGATCGAACTTTGTTGTTCACACTACTCTCGAGCGGACGCTAACTGTAATGAGTGCGAAAAATATCCTCATTGTGAATAGGCCCTAAGAAAGAAAATCACTTAATCCTAAGATACATTGTGATGAGGCTACATATATCTCTTGGTCGTTAAAAACAAGAAATACTGATATGAAAATGACGTAGGCACACAAACCAAATGTTCACAATCTTCCTGATACACCACAGAATCACAGCTGTCCCGTTTGACCACATATCTGTAAAGTTTCCTAAGATAGCTTTAATTTGTTTTAGTTCCTTTATCTGTTTACGCGTGTGTTTGGAAATCATGGGCCTAAGACATTATGGTCCTAAATCCAACTCTATCGATCGTAAAAAATGTGATGTACAGTCTGTCTGTGCATGTTTGGGGCCAGTTGTTTACAAAATTAGCTTGGGTAGACATTATTTTGTCAGACACCACGATTACTCTCTTTGCATCATTCTCCTCCCAGTTCGAATATGGTAAGTTACTTTCGTCAGGTTTTTTCTAGTGTACTTGATAGCTCTAAAACTTGTTGCTGATTTCCAATGTTATGGACCACAGCTGAAACTATTCCATTACTGTCAGTTTCCATTCAGCCTTTGATGAAAATTTCACTGAGATCTGAATCGGTACTTCTTAGTCTGCAAGCAAGTTGTTGCACTTTGACCTTGCTGAATGCTGACGACAAAAACTTGCCGAGTTGCTAAGGTATATTCATGTCAGCCTGTATGGGTACTATGTCAATAGTACCAGTGTTTGGTGACCTCCTTTGTTTTTCCAATTCTTCAATGTAGTTGTCAAAAACGATGTAAACCTGCTGTGCTTTGCAAAGTGCTCTGGATACCTAAAGAACTGTCCAGACTGTTTGGCTAAGGTTTTAAAATTGGCAGTTTTCATCAATCTGATTTGGAACATAAAGTCGACAAAATTGCTGTGTTGTTACCTTCTCTGTAACACTCATTGTTCTGGCGCAAGATGTTTCTCATGTTCTACGACGAGAGTACGTTTCGCTGGTTTCCTGGCAGTAAGCATCACCTTTAAACAGTGGGCTTACTGCCAGTAAGTCACTGATTCATCTCGCTTTCTTCCAACTTCCATTTGCTTACGTGCTTTAGTGTCAGGCTCAGCGTTTTTTGATTGTCCAATATCAACAGCACTGGTGTCACTGAATCTAGGATATTGTGTCTGAGAGTTTATTCTCTTTAAATATAATTTTTCGTTTCGGATCTCCATGTAGAAAGTTCCACCATGCTCCAAAGTGCTCAACAATGACAATGGGAAGTTTTGGCCAACATATCGCTGGGTCCCACAATTGTAAAGATGCACGTGCTCCTAAAACAACAACCAAATGAACTATATTAAACATTTCAGGCCCACATACATGTAGCACTTACAGCAACGTAAAACATTCTTTGGTGGAAAAGTGCTCAATTAGCACAAAACCTTTTAAATATTTGTTTATATCTTTTTAATCCATTACAGTTTTTAGTGAATCAAAATTAATTTGTATTACCTGATACGCATGAGAGCTATTTTGTTGGTCTGCAGACTATGTTTGAATATTTAGTGATGTCTCAGATGTTAATGGGGTATCTCAGATTGAAATGTTTATCTGTTTCTGGGCCATTGTCGAACTGTTTGTTTGTTTGTTTTGAATTTCGCGCAAAGCTACACGAAGGCTATCTGCGCTAGCCGTCCCTAATTTAGCAGTGTAAGATTAGAGGGAAGGCAGCTAGTCATCACCACCCACCGCCAACTCTTGGGCTACTCTTTTACCAACGAATAGTGGGATTGACCGTGACATTATAACGCCCCCACGGCTGAAAGGGCGAACATGTTCGGTGTGACGGGGATTCGAACCCGCGACCCGCAGAT